CCTATTTTTTTTATTACCTTCGCAAGAAGGTTATGTTTTCAGTAGCGTTTGTCTGTGTGTGTGTTTGTGTGTGTGTTTGTGGTTTAGCAAGATAACTCAAGAAGCAGTGAATGGATTGAAATGAAACTTGGTATGTATGTAGGTCTTCATGAGACCTAGAAATGATTAGATTTTGGGCCCCCTGGCAGATTTCCTAGGTACTGCAGCAGAACTTCCGGTTTTGATATCTCGTGATTTGGACATGCTAGGGTCACGAATTTTGGTTGGTAGATAGTTCTTGGAGTAGGGAAGAAGTGACATGAGTTTGGGTCCCCTAGCGGCTTGTCCTGGAACTGCAGGAGCATTTGTTGAAAAAATTTCGAAGGATGATAACTCAAGAACCGGTTGACGGATTGTCATGATCTTTAGTATGTAGGTAGTTGAAGTGATGCTTGACATAATCAGATTACAATTATGCAAATCAGGGGCTAATTTGCATAATTAATGAGGAAATTCTATAAATCTGCTTTGTTCGATAATAGAACTATGAAACACTTGTGACATCTACTAGTACTTGAGAACAAGATAAAACATCTGAGGATATAGATTATGTAAATGAGGACCTAATTCGCATAATTAATGGCAAATTTTTATAATTTCATGGTTATAACTGTTGAGAATTTCATACCTGCCACATTTGGAAGTTAAGTGAAGCTGAACATCAATAAACATAATTTATTACAATCATGACCTCATTTGCATAATTGATGAGGAAGTGATATAATAGCCTTTTTGTTAAAATAAGGCTGTCATTGGGTGGAGATTGAATATGATCAACTGATATAATCCACTCAAATGAGGCTCTTATTTACAAAATCGATGATTAAATTGTATAATTGGTCAACCGCAAGGGTTAACATCACTTGGCGAAGGTATGAGATCGCGGAACTCTTGTTCTAACTTTTATCAACAACTTCGTGCAAGAGAACTCCAAGATGAGATCTTTACCGGGTTGATGAAGAGACAGAGTGCATCTTGAAAGCTCCCCAGATTAGCTAACTTTTTGTTGTATATATTGTCAATAACATTCATCAAAAGTATGCATGTTTTATACAAGGGTACAATAGTATGTAACCCTACACAAATATCTATGTGCACAAGATCAAAAAAATTAGTACACTAAAGTTCATAATGAATGAATGACGACCTTTATTGCACATTTTTGCCATACTGGGCTAAGTACAGGTCAAAACAAAACATAATGGAGAAATATATACAAAATAAAACTAACTATCATTACATAAATTCGACTTCTCGCTTTTCAGTTATGGTAGAGATAAATGAACAGATATGTTTATCGATGGAAGGTTTGTCAAGTCGCATCAGGAATATGAATTTTTCTACAGTGCTCAGGTGTATGAAATAAGGAAATAGGTTTTGTACAAGCCTATACAGATCACTTCTCTCTTTACAATATAATCTACATTCTATAACAAAGTGACATTCGTCCTCTATTCTATTCAAATTACAACATGTACATAACCTTTGTTCCAGAGGGGTGCACCCAGTATTATTTCCAGGACTGTAACATTAACATTTCTGTACTACCTGCTTCCCCCCCAGGTGAGTAAACAAGGCATGCAGGTGGGCATCGACTTCTGGCTGTCCACCTGGTCATCTGCAAGTACAGTCACTGCCATGGCAACCACTCCTGTCATCAACATGACAGCTGTCAATCAAACATGGGGGAACCTCACTCAGGTAAGATGATCATTTTTGTTTAAGTCAATATTGTCATCATGGTTCCCTTACAACTACTTTGAATTTACATGTACCTATTTTCTTCCATTGAATCTTACCTACCTATTTGTACACAATTCATCACAAGTTTCTGGTCACAACCCAAAGTCTAGTTTAATGTCAGATCTTTTTATTTTGTGGTAGGTAGACGAAGAAAAAACAGCAACCACTTTATTCAGCCACTTGTTACCATGGTGTAAGCATTATTGTAATGTGTCTCATTGTCATTTCCCATTTGTTAAATGTTGAAATAGGCTTAACTACATGTACATACATAGTTACAATGTACACACACACTTAGCAAATCCAATTGAAGCTCTAGGCTCCTAAATTGTCTCCCCACAGGCTGAAAGGAAGTGATGGCTATACCCTCAGATTTACTGAGCATGGACCAATTTAGGGCTTGTCAAAACAAGATCTCAGCCTGCAAAGTTTCTATTCTTAAGCCCATTTAAAGTATGTCAGATCATCTTTTTGACTGTGCCAATAACAGTCTTAGACTAGCTTCTGTGCTTCACCCCAGCTGCCTCCAGGCCTGGACACAAGTTACTATAAGACACTTTCCTCAGAGCCTCTCACTGGAGTTACCTTTGGACTTGTGTTCTCAAGATTGTGCCACCTTATTTGATTACACTGTACATACATGCATATAGTGGAGAGGAGCAGCACTCCAGTCAGAGGCTCTGAGGAAGGTGTCTGATCATGATAGACATCAAAATGTAAGCAGGGTGAGAAGTACTGGTTGTGTTATGAGAAATTTTTTTTTCCTGTACTTTTTCTCTAGCCACCTCCAGGCCTGGACACCAGTTATTACATAAACGGCTACACAGCGCTGTCAGTCACAGCCATCCTGCTGGCTGCTGTCAGCTCCATCATCAGTATGCTGTCCATGGTGGTGGGAGCCAAGCGCCTGCACGAAGGGATGGTCAGGAACATCGTACTTGCTCCTATGAGGTAGGAACAAATTTAATTACAGCAATTCCTTATTTTTTCACTGTACTGTTATGTTAACTGTTTTCACTGTCACTTCTCTCTGTACAGTGAACTTATCATTACAGTTAACAAATAGTTCCTGGACTTTCTCTTTCCTGCACTTGTTGCCACAGTGAATATATATAGTTCCGTGAACATGTCCATTTTTCTTAGACTGTGAACTTTTGCTACTGTGAACATGAAGTGAATTACAGTTACCTTTTGGAGTAGGGAACTTGTGTGCAGGCATGACTGCATACAGGATTGACTGTAGATACATGTCTAGCATGAAAATCCATTGCTGTATGTTTTTACATAAATACAATTCAAATATAAATTGACACCTCTCATGGTCATGTCAGCTCTGTGTGTGAATGCCATTATTGTGAATTTCTTTGTTTACACGACTGTAACTCTGCATCATGTGTACTGCAGGTTCTTTGACACTACCCCTACTGGCCGAGTGCTGAATCGTATGTCAGAGGACCAAAGTGTCATCGACATTGTGAGTTTCATTTCACATTCCTCTCACATGTACATGATTTACGATGATGGCAATAATTTTGACTTTGCTTGCTGTATCTGTATACTAGCTGGTATAACCACACTTCAGTGAAAACACTGACTTCTACCAGTGATTCAACATTCAAGCAAAAATCAAAAATCAAATTGTTGTCAGTGTGTAGTATGTAGAAGACCTAAGTTAGTAGCATGCACAAGTCTTAGTTTCAAGCCCAACTGTTCAACCATTGCAATCTATGCATCACGTCCTCATCATACTGACGGACGAACAACACATCTAACAAACAGTTTCTGTATCTGTATCATTCTGTATAGCCGGTATAACCGCCTTTTGGTGTAACACACCAGCTTTGCAGGCACGCGGCGTGGCAGCAGCTGGCTATATTACACCGATCGACTTGTTACACCTAACCCTTGAACTTCTAGCTCTAGACTTTGTTTAAAGCTATCTATTGACAATGCCCCTACTGTACTTGGTGACAGTGAGTTCCACTATGCAATAGTTCTAGGAAAGAATGAACTGTAAAGATAAATTTTTCCTCCTCTTCTCCCCCCCAGAGGTTGCCGTTTCAGATGGAGGCTCTGATCCGGACCTCCCTCATGGTGACCTCTGCCCTGGTGGTGAACGCCGTTGTCACCCCCTACTTCATCATTGGCGCGGTCCCCATCGTTATACTGTACTACTTCGTCCAGAAGTTCTTCAGAGCAACGGCAAGGTGAGACTAAGATTCCTTGGGCAGCTGCTGCTTTCAAATGTTATAACTTACTGCAATATGAAATTAAGTGCTTACCAATTTGATATGTTGGTTCTTGGATTTGGGCTGACAAAGGAAAAAAACAGGCCTAGGCATCCTTTTATAGTCCCAAATGCTGACATACATGATAGGAGTCACAAAGTCAACATAGTAGGCTGGTGTATAATTCAAAAACCTTGTGGAAGCTAGCAGAGGCACTGCCAAAATATACTGGGTGTGTACAAAGAACATTGTTAACTATGATATACTCTGATATTATATAAAGAGCCCCTAAGGTGAATAACATAGAAGTTTCTGGTTTTTTTTACAGAGAACTACAGAGGCTGGACAGCATCAACAAGTCCCCAGTGTTCGCTCACGTCTCTGAGACATTAGGGGGACTGTCCACTATACGTGCCTTCAGGTAAAGGAAAGAACACTAAGGGACAAGGGGGATCATTCATTGTTATTCTTTAGATGCCGAAATCTCAATTTGGATTGTTAAAGTTGTCTTGAGACTGTTGATGAAGAAAGCTCAAAACATTTTCACCACAATGCATGGCTACTGAAACCTGTCAACAGTGATCACTTAAGCTTGTTCAAGAAATAAACATCATTACTTCATCGCTACTTCATAGATGTAATATCAAGATTAAGGATATTTGAGAGAATTTTGTTTTTGACATTGACTTTCTGTGGGTTAATAACACAGATTTTTGTCTCCACAGAGTTGAGAAGAGATTTAAAGACAACATCATGGAGAAAGTGAACAGGTCCAACACACCGTTCTACTTCCTCACAGCCACCAACTCATGGGTGGGCCTGAGAATGGTACGTGTGCCTGGGGAACAGAACAAACTTATGTAAAAAAAAAATTGTTGCTAGGTAACTGTTGCTAAGTGATGGTGTTCCATTCCTGTACAGGGTTACATGTACATGTGAGGTTGCTGGGTTGCTAAGTGATATGATGTTCTGTACTTGCATGGTTACATGTACATAGGAGATGTTTTAAATAATTACTAAGTTTTTTTGCTAGGTAGCTGTTGCTAAGAAATGGTGTTCTGTACTTACAGGGTTACATGGGAGTATTATTTGTTGTTGCTAGGTAACTGTTGCTAAGCGATAGTGTTCTGTACTTACAGGGTTACATGGGGGTGTTATAGTGTTTGTTGCTTGGTAACTGTTGCTAAGCGATGGTGTTCTGTACTTACAGGGTTACATGGGAGGTGTTATAGTGTTTGTTGCTAGGTAACTGTTGCTAAGTGATGGTGTTCTGTACTTACAGGGTTACATGGGAGGTGTTATAGTGTTTATTGCTGGTTTGTCAGCTATGGTGGCTTCCATATTTGGTGCAGTGTCTTCTGGGATGGTGGGACTGTCCATAACATATGCTCTCAATGTAAGTAAAATTTGGTGTTTTATCATGATATTTTATTCATTGTAATTTACTGTAATGTTTCTGTGCTACCCAGATAGTTTTCTCTATGTGCACCCGAGTACATTACACCCCTGGGTACATGCTGCTGGGTACAAGTTAAACAAAACATGCAAAGAAACCTACATTTCAGAACTGTTAAATGATGCCATTTTTTTATTATCTTTGTCTAGAAGGTTATGTTTTCAGTAGCGTTTGTCTGTGTGTGTGTTTGTGTGTGTGTTTGTGGTTTAGCAAGATAACTCAAGAAGCAGTGAATGGATTGAAATGAAACTTGGTATGTATGTAGGTCTTCATGAGACCTAGAAATGATTAGATTTTGGGCCCCCTGGCAGATTTCCTAGGTACTGCAGCAGAACTTCCGGTTTTGATATCTCGTGATTTGGACATGCTAGGGTCACGAATTTTGGTTGGTAGATAGTTCTTGGAGTAGGGAAGAAGTGACATGAGTTTGGGTCCCCTAGCGGCTTGTCCTGGAACTGCAGGAGCATTTGTTGAAAAAATTTCGAAGGATGATAACTCAAGAACCGGTTGACGGATTGTCATGATCTTTAGTATGTAGGTAGTTGAAGTGATGCTTGACATAATCAGATTACAATTATGCAAATCAGGGGCTAATTTGCATAATTAATGAGGAAATTCTATAAATCTGCTTTGTTCGATAATAGAACTATGAAACACTTGTGACATCTACTAGTACTTGAGAACAAGATAAAACATCTGAGGATATAGATTATGTAAATGAGGACCTAATTCGCATAATTAATGGCAAATTTTTATAATTTCATGGTTATAACTGTTGAGAATTTCATACCTGCCTACATTTGGAAGTTAAGTGAAGCTGAACATCAATAAACATAATTTATTACAATCATGACCTCATTTGCATAATTGATGAGGAAGTGATATAATAGCCTTTTTGTTAAAATAAGGCTGTCATTGGGTGGAGATTGAATATGATCAACTGATATAATCCACTCAAATGAGGCTCTTATTTACAAAATCGATGATTAAATTGTATAATTGGTCAACCGCAAGGGTTAACATCACTTGGCGAAGGTATGAGATCGCGGAACTCTTGTTGTATATTGTGGTCTATAATTACTTTGTACATGTACAACTGGGTATGACCCATTTCATGCCATTCAGCAAAAATCGAAAATTTTCAAAATAAACATTGACAAAGAAAAAGATGAAGTTAAGAACCATAGAGCCCATGCCACGTTTTCTTGATTAATCTCTGTCCAGATAAATAATTATACAATGTCCTGTATTTTATGCCATTTTCTATGCTGTGAAGCTGAACGTTCCTTTTCTTTTCCCCACAGCTGCAGCAGTATTTGCACTGGGTAGTGAGGAATTACTGTGAAGTTGAGATGATGATGAATGCAGTGGAGAGGATCACCTTCTACAGCACCATTCCTACAGAACAGTACAGGGACAGGCAGAGAGGTACATATACATGTATTACCCTTATAACTGTTTGTTGTACTAAGGGATTTCTCAGCACTTTGGCAAAACATTTTTACCGTTATATTTGCTTATTTAAGCCTTAAGGATGACATCCTTTCCATAGTTTTCACATATTGTGCCAGTAAAGGTCTCATCTGCAACAGGCCAAATTCTGATGTAACATGGACCAAACATTCAATGAAAAATATGAAAAATCTGGGTTTACCGCAGGTACAGTATGTTCTGCAGACATGCTGGATTTTTCCAGTTACAAATTGAGCCTGTATATACTGCATACATGTTGCATGTCTTCTCAGTGTCATGGCCAGTGGAAGAGTATCAAATCAACTGTTCATTGAGTTCTTATCTTGAAAGTTCATATGTGTTGTTGGAAGTCATTACATGAAGAAAATTTTAACTTTTCCAGCACAGGAAATTGAACTTACACAAATTTTTTACAGTAAAACTCCAGTCTTTGTCAAGGAATGAACAGTCCACCACTTCTGTGACGTCAGTTTTAATGATGACACAGAGGACTCAGATAGATAGCAGTGAATCATAGGTTGCAGAAAGTTCGTTTTAGCTCCACTGGTTTGAGTTTTTGCCCCTTCCATTCCCAGAAACCTTGTCCCAGCTTGACTGTTCATTACATTCATTTGAGCTAAACTTGTTGAGATTTCTGTAATATATTTTTTCTTCCCTTCCAGGAAATGTTGTCCCAGCGGCTGACTGGCCAGCCTGTGGGGAGGTTCGACTGGACAAGATTTCTGTCCGATACGACAAAACCCTGGATCCCGTCCTCCACACTGTCACAGCCTCATTCAAACCTGGGGAAAAGGTAGGTTGGACAATATTTACTCCCTGGTACGTTTGATCAAGTGCTCACTTATCCGTAAAGTCTCATGTGAATAAGGCTGAGTATTAGCCGCACAAAAACACACCTGTCCCTGGTGCTGAACACCTTCCACATACAGATAAACACTCCTGTACTCCTCCACTCCTGCTAATATAAGCACTACCCACGTAAAAAGCGCACCTATCCTTGGTGCTGAACGCCATCCACACACAGTCAGACACAGTCACAGAGGCAAACGCACCTGTCCTTGGTGCTGAACGCCATCCACACACAGTCAGACACAGTCACAGAGGCAAACGCACCTGTCCTTGGTGCTGAACGCCATCCACACACAGTCAGACACAGTCACAGAGGAAAACGCACCTGTCCTTGGTGCTGAATGCCATCCACACACAGATAAACACTCTTACACCTGTACTTGAGTACTAGCTGCACGTAGATATTACAAGCACGTGCAAATTTCCAGCCAAAATTTGTTTTTGTTGATGAAGGTTAGAGGTCTGGGTACAAGAATGGAGCTTTCAACCAACCATAGAACAAAAGATAATAATTATTACTCTTTGACACTGAGGTGGGCCATTGAATTAGTTGATGCCGAACTAACACCGGTGTGCTTAACAGGCAGATTTGTGTACTAAAAAGCTTATCATATCCACCCACCTTAATGTCCACACAGGTTGGCATCTGTGGCAGAACAGGCAGCGGGAAATCTTCCCTCACTCTGGCTCTCTTCAGGATGATCGACATGTTTGAAGGTGGGTTGCTCAAATTGCTGCAAGCCCAGTTCAGCTTAGTTCAGTTCTACTGTCTTTTCCATGCACTTTTTGTACCAGTACAGTTTTATTGACTTAAAAGCCATGCTGTTGTAACGTAATGTACATTGTATATTCAGTTGCATAAACTGTGAGGATTTATCTGACGCTATGTTATCAGTTTCTAAAAATCCATGACTTGGCAACATGAGGCCACACTATCAGTAAACTGTAAAAAGATAAAAGAAAGATTGACATATTGGCAAAACACTTGGTTTCTGTCTTTATTTTTGCTGAGTACCCTCTTTTTGCGACTGCTCTACATGATTACACTGCATTACAAAATATAGCACTTACACTTGAAATGTTTTTTTGTCCTTCTTGTTCCTCAGGTAAAATCTGCATAGATGGAGTGGACATCAGCCGTGTGCCCTTGACCCTGCTGAGGTCACGCCTGTCAATCATCCCTCAGGACCCCGTGCTGTTCAGTGGTACCATCAGGTCAGTGCCTGTTGTAAAATCTACCCTAAGTAGTAGTATGTTTCTATGATTTCTGTACCATGTTTATGGTCATGTTCATGTTCTTGTGTCTTATTAATTATAAACCCATATGGGCTGGGCGACAAAAGTCACGACACGTAAATAAAAATTCATTCAATCATTCATTTATTCATTCATTTATTCAGTCAGTCAGTACATAGAACTCTTGTATTGAGACAGAGACTTGGGCAGAGGAAATGATGTAACCCAAACTTTATGCCAAAAAAACAGTTACTCAAGCAACTGGATATGATTTTGAAAACGTCAGACGTTTCAGCTAGTATCCACTAGCTTTCGTCAGTGACTGAGAGACCAGAGGGGAAAGCAGGTTTATATACACAACCTGTTGATTGATATGCAAATAAAGTGAAGACAAATTTTTGGAAGTCGAAAAAGGAACAAAAGTCAGACAAGTCAGAACAAGATGATGCAAATTAGTCTGAAAGCTCCAGTTGCTTGAGTAACTGTTTTTTTGGCATATCGTATTACCTGGATGTCTAACCTTTTATCGACGTAACCCAAACTTTGTTCAGTGCCTAGAAGTGGTCTCTTGGCGTTGCACTGAGCAAATTTTTTTTAAAAAGTTGTTGAGCAGTGAAATTTGTTCAAGAATAAATCAAAGAAGTGTCATAGATGATGCGAGAATTAAGCTTCTGGAGAGAGCAGATACACAAGTCATTTGTGGCTAAGTGGACACTGCACTACAAGGACTGAGGCTTCAGAGGAACTACATGCACATGTACATGCAAGTGCTGAATAAATCTCACTGTGATTTTACTGGTTACAGAATGATTCTAGGTTGTATTCTTTTACCTTCCAGGTTTAACCTTGATCCTGAGGATAATGTCAGTGACTGGGAGCTGTGGAGGTCACTGGAGATCGCACAGCTCAAGTCTGTCGTTACTGAGCTGCCAAACCAGCTGGGTAAGTCTTAACAAAACACTATCGCTAAGACTTATTATAATAAATAAACCTTCTAGCACCACATATACATTGTACAAGACTCTGTGATCTGCATTTATTGTATCTGTAGAAAATGATAAAAATGTCCCTCTCTTTACTTTGGACAAAATTGTACAGTGTTTTGTTACTACATGAACCATGGCAGTTTTCAAAAGTTTTCAACAATCCAGTTGCTTTAGTAACTGTGTTCTTGTTTGTCTCATTACCTGGATGTCTAACCTTCATTCAATTTGATGTTTTTCATTGTAATGTTCAGATGAGATGGTGACAGAAGGAGGGGAGAATTTCAGTGTTGGTCAGAGACAGGTGTGTATAAGTCCTGATCTAATGAGTAAGATGTTGCATCACATTATGCAGGTCGCAGTGGATCATACATGTAAGATTGCAGAAAGTTTATGGCACAAATCTCTTCTTCTATCTGCATAATGTGACATTTTTTATGATTTTCGCATTGGAAATTCTGCTGAGTCCTATTGTAACGACCTCTACCAAATGAACACAGATGTACTAGTCTAGTACATGTACTTTAAACTGATTTGTCTGTTCACAGTGCAAATCTCTTTCCACAGCTGTTCTGTCTAGCCCGAGCGTTTGTCCGGAAGTCACGTATCCTCATCATGGACGAGGCAACAGCATCTATCGACATGGAAACGGTTGGACTTCTTCTCTTGTGTTTGTCCAAGTGCACCAGTAGCTTTTGTTAATAATACTCACCTGAATCCTGGTCATTCGGTACCCTTTCCCAGGGTAATGAGACCATCCATGTACATGTAGTTAAGACAGTATTGGCAATTAAGTATGAGAAGTTGTAGCCGTAACGGTCTGTGTAGTTTTTCCAAATTATTAATAAGACAGACTTGTATACATATTATATAAATATATAATTGTGGCCTGTGTACTGTGCCTTATAAGTCTCAAAATTGAGCGATGGAAAGAGTATATGACTGTGTATGTAAAAACTGACAATCTTTGACTACTCAGATTTTTTAGCTGACACTATTCTATTGTCATTGTCATTCTAAACTCCTAATTTTGTCCTTCCAGGATGCTATCTTACAAGATGTGATCAAGACAGCATTCAGGGACAGAACAGTTCTCACTATCGCTGTAAGTTAGTATTTAACTGAAATGTAATGTGGTCGTTAAAACTGTTAAAAAAACAGTCCAACTATACCTACATCTAGAAGATGTAAAGCACCAAATTTCTGAATGGTTCTTTTACTGCCTTTTTTCAGGTTGGAATGACCTATTGCAATCATAATTATGGTTATCGTGTATAAATTGTATTCTTTAATTCCATGAAAGTTTATTTATGTTGGTAGTTAAATGTTTAAAGTTAAAACTTTCGATCCAACAAAAATAGTTCTCTCACCTAGAGCTTTTGACCAGTCACTCAGGTCTTCCTCAGTAGACTGACCCAGTGAGGCTTGTCACGTGGCTTCTTTGAAGTGTGTCGTCAACACTGGGTCAAAGGTATCAAGTAGATGATGTCGATGATAATTACAGTAGCATGCCCGTAGCCAGGAGTTTGAATGGGGGGTTCTTCCCACTGCTTGAGGGACCAGCGAGCGCCTAGGGGGGTCCGGGGGAAATTTTGAAAAATGAACCTTCTGAAATGACATTTCCTGCATTTTTGAGAGGATTTCAGAGAAAAAATCAGAGATAACTTTTTATTCAATGACAAAGTAGGCAGTTTTTATACGATTCCAGGCCCGCTGATGATACAAATCAGTCCATCTAAAGAGAAATCTTGGACCTTTAGATAAAAAGTGGACCTTTGAGCCTTGTGGTGGGGTTCTTCCGAACCCCCCGAACCCCCCTGGCTACGGGCATGCAGTAGCACTGTCTCACAGCTTTGTCTTTTAATTCACAGCACCGTATAGCGACGATCCTGAACTCTGACCGGATCCTGGTTCTGGACCAGGGGAAGTTGGTGGAGAACGACTCGCCACAAAACCTGCTGAAGAAACCAGACGGCCTGTTCACGGCACTGGTCAAGGCTAATAAATAGGGAGGAGGAAGTAAAGCTGCAGTCAAACCTGTACTTGTCTGGTGACAAGTATCAAGTATCAAGTGACTACATCTGCATATAGGATTCCTTGGCCACTGATATACAGTCATAGCCTGAGTGTCAGACTTGTTAGCTTTTGTCCGCTCCCCACCAGAGTGGATGAAAGCTAGGTTAAACAAGGCTGACACTCAGGCTAATACAGTTAAAAATCCTTTACTTGTGACCAACTTTACATAATGACTGCCTGGCCACTTATATATAGTCAAACCTGTACTAGTGACCACCTGTGTATATTTAGGACTATCTGGCTACATTGTGACCACTTTTTGGTGGTCCAGTACATGTAACTACTTTAGTATTTTTCCATCCATTCAAGCATAAAAGAACCCTAATTTTATTGGCCACCAGACCAAATGATTAATATGCAAAAGTACACTGAATAGTCAATCTTGACAGGTTTGACTATATACAAGAATCTTGTATATCTACAGTTATGTTACATGTCCCAAGTTATAGTTTCTATTTGTTATTCAGTTTGTTCATCTGTTATCACATTGTTCATGTTGATAATTTATTAACAAGTGCAACTATAGCTACAACCACCCATTCCAACACATTGCCAGCATTATGTGTTATGCAAAATCCGGCTGCCAAGAAGAGATTCTAAAACACTGTACTACATGACACAAGGCCAGCAAGGAACAAGTTCATCAGAGATGGCAGACTTCATCCCCTTACTCATACTGTGAGGTACTACTCTCATCATGAAAGTGTGAAAGGGAGCAAAGTTGGAAGAAATCCAACTTTCTAGTTAGTTTGGTTGCATGAGATTTCCTTGGAAACATAATATTATAAAAAGAGATTACATTTATATTGAATTATAATTGATGCAGCATAAAATTTATAAGGACCAAAAAGTAACGAATAAGGTAGATAGCTTTTTTTAACAAAGTTTTCTTGAATTACAGTATCTATGATATTTAAAGAGATTTGTCATTAATTTTGCGATTTTATGTTGCAAAGACTTGTTTGGTATCCCTGATTTATTATGTAAAATTTTAAGTTTGATTTTTGTAAATAAATCATGAAACTGAAAGTGTAAAAAAATCGCCGTATCTGCTTGGAGATTGACAGTGCTGAAGACACCTGAACCTGGTCAAGGCCAACAAGTAATGCCCATGGCACCTCGGGCATAGGAAACCAGCTACAACTTTCCAGTTGTTGTTCAGCTTCTGTTCAAGTTAGATATGCATTGAAACCTACACTAAACCTCAGACATGTGTGGACACCTGAGAAAGGTCAGATCAGGCTAATTAATAAGTAACACCCATAGGAATTTGGGCTCCAGAAACTAGCTACTATAACTGTTACACTATTCCAGTTTCTGTTTTTTTTTTCTGTTCATTTTTTCTTTAAGTTTACATTGAACCAGAGGACCTAGCAACTGAGTCGACACCTGACAAAGGTCTGGTCATGGGTCATGGTCAAAGCTAACAGGTAAATGTAATGCCCATGGCACTTTGGTGTTAGGGAACTAGCTGCAATGTTCCAGTTTCTGTTCATTTGTACTTCAAGTTCACATTCAAATTCACACTGAGCCTCTGTGTGGCCGCCTTATTTTCTATGAAGAGACAAAGTACATGACATTGTATGAGCTGACTTGGCTGACGCCCATCATTTCACGTCTTCCTGCTTTTTTTCACGCAATAAGAGCTGTCTGGAGGCTTGGATTCAACCACACCACCCTCCCCCAAAGGTGTTGCCTAGCCAGGCCACTTCAAGGCGGCACAACACAGTTTTAGCCCTATGGGGATTTCTATAGTTAAGGACCCCAAAGTGACTCACTTCGACTCACTGAAAATCATAGTAGGGTGCACAAGCAAGGTTCAGATTTTTGATATGTTTAATTTCAGGGTATAGTGTACAACATATGCGAAAATGAGCTCAAATTTGCCGGCTAGTTTTCTTCTCATGCCCTCTTTTATTAGCGCCATTGCGGAGGTCATGGAACTGCAGCCGACGCACAGTACTAGGCGGGACAAGTATCCAAGCGCAAATCTACGCCGACTGAACACGCACCATAAGTCAACTTCTACAGTCTCAAAACTGACATATTCCTCTAACATTTACCACAGGTTCTATCTCGATACCATGCTCAGAACAATCTCTGCACCCTTCTCTAGTATTGTGCAGCACTACTTTGTGCCCGGACTACTTTTGACTACGGGGTTCGCCCATAAATACTGTGTTGTGCGGCCTTAAACGAACTTGACCTTGATTTTTTTTTCATTTATGCGATAAAACTAGTCAAGATGTGAAACTTGGCCAAATTTTATCCCACAAATCCAAACTGTTGCTGAGATTTCGGCAACTTTGCACTTCGGCACCTGTCGTAGAGCTAGGTCCCGTACAAGGCCCTAATGACGGGCCATTTAATGGTCTTCTTATCAGGTCAAATTTACTATTCCAGCCGACTTTTTCTGGCTAGCGGGTATCATTGTTGTATCCTCTCACGTTCTGAGTGAATTTTTAGTTAGTGTAAGCCGTTTTTACGGCAGAAAAAGGGGGGGGGGGGGTACGCGGTTCTCGGGCCAGGTGGGGAACTCCCATAGTAAAGCATAGGGGACTGTCCTAGTGGCCGTTGCCATGGCAACGGAGGTCTGACGGTGAAATAAACTGGTGTATTTTACTTGAACCGACGTCAGTACCAGATATACTAAGCAAATTTCACCAAATTTTACACGGTTTATTAATTCCCGTGGGGGTTCAAACGAACTTGACCTTGATTTTTTTTTCATTTATGCGATAAAACTAGTCAAGATGTGAAACTTGGCCAAATTTTATCCCACAAATCCAAACTGTTGCTGAGATTTCGGCAACTTTGCACTTCGGCACCTGTCGTAGAGCTAGGTCCCGTACAAGGCCCTAATGACGGGCCATTTAATGGTCTTCTTATCAGGTCAAATTTACTATTCCAGCCGACTTTTTCTGGCTAGCGGGTATCATTGTTGTATCCTCTCACGTTCTGAGTGATTTTTAGTTAGTGTAAGCCGTTTTTACGGCCGAGAAAGGAAGGGGGGGGTACGCGTTCTCGGGCCAGTGGGGAACTCCCATAGTAAAGCATAGGGGACTGTCCTAGTGGCCGTTGCCATGGCAACGGAGGTCTGACGGTGAAATAAACTGGTGTATTTTACTTGAACCGACGTCAGTACCAGATATACTAAGCAAATTTCACCAAATTTTACACGGTTTATTAATTCCCGTGGGGGTTCAAGGCGGCACAACACAGTTTTAGCCCTATGGGGATTTCTATAGTTAAGGACCCCAAAGTGACTCACTTCGACTCACTGAAAATCATAGTAGGGTGCACAAGCAAGGTTCAGATTTTTGATATGTTTAATTTCAGGGTATAGTGTACAACATATGCGAAAATGAGCTCAAATTTGCCGGCTAGTTTTCTTCTCATGCCCTCTTTTATTAGCGCCATTGCGGAGGTCATGGAACTGCAGCCGACGCACAGTACTAGGCGGGACAAGTATCCAAGCGCAAATCTACGCCGACTGAACACGCACCATAAGTCAACTTCTACAGTCTCAAAACTGACATATTCCTCTAACATTTACCACAGGTTCTATCTCGATACCATGCTCAGAACAATCTCTGCACCCTTCTCTAGTATTGTGCAGCACTACTTTGTG